GGGATGCGCAGGCCTTGGGAAGGACCCACTTGTTTTTCTGCCACTTGGAAAATGCTCTCAAAACCCACCGCTCCAGGGAGACGTTGCCAGCAGCCGGCTGTCTGGCGGGCATCTACCTCCACTTCTGTCTCTTGACTTAGCAGAAATAAGGACAACGTACCTTCCGCTTCTTTGCGATGCAGAATCAGTCTCTTCCAGAGTCGTTTATGCGCAGCCTCTCCTGTCAGGATCAGCCCGACTGATACATTTGGGAGGGTGCCCACTGGGGAGCTGAGGGTCGGCACCACTGCTGGGAAGTGTGGGTCACAGGCAGGGGCACCACTGGGCGCTTCTCCTAATGCAGGGCCCCTGGCCTCTCCCTGACCTACAAGGAGACACATACAGGCACACAGAGGCACACAGCCAGCCAGCCAGACAGCCAGACACACGGTAGCAGGAGCACTCAAATCCTTCCACCAAAACGAAAGCAGCCGTCAGGAGCGATGCTGGTTGGCACGGGACGATTAGGGTGTGGAGGTCCCTGATAACCTCTATTTGGGCACCTCACTAAAATTTTCCACAAAGAAAATAAATTTAAAATAAGCAAACACGTAATTAAGGTCGTGAATAATTCACAGGAACAGGTAAGTCTGTGCTTGGCCAGGAACCTGATTCTTACTGGCTCTGCCCCCCCAGAGCTCGACCCCCTGCCAGGGGAGCAAGCCCAGGATGCCCCATGGAGGGTGGGGGTCCACCTGGAGCGGAGGCCAGTCACATGGCCACCACGGCCGTCCCCAACTGGGTGCCCGTCCAGCAGGGACCGGCCGCCCTTAGCAGATGCTTACTCTGGGGTCCACCCGTGCGGTCACTGCTTGTTTCTCATGCCACGGAGCGTGGTCACCCATAACAGATGCGTGGGGAGCAGACACACGGATGCTGCACGTCATCGTGATGGACGCTGGACACTATTCGCTTGTGCAGGCCCACGGAAGGCACAACGCCCACAGGGAGCTCTGGTGTAAACCACGGACTCTGCCCATGTGGGTGCCGTCTGGGGCGGACGCTGACAGGGGAGACTGTGCACATGAGGGTGCGGGACGCATATGGGACATCTCTGCCCCCTCCCTCAACTGTGCTGAGAACTTAAAACTACTCTAAAAACATGCTTCAGCCTTTAAACGTAACAACAGAACCAAGCGCACCCGTTCTCTTACTGGGCCCGGCGCGGCCCTTCCGCAGCAGCAGCCTGCTCCACGCGAGTCGGGGCCTCCAGACCCCCGTGGGGGTCTCGTCTCTGCTCCAGCCTCTGGGGCTCCGAGTCTAATCTGCTCATTCTCACCTCCTTGCTCCCACCTTCCAGAATCTGCAGCCAACACACGCACGCACACCCCCTCACAGCAAAGCCCAGCTCTCCCCAGGCCCCACGACTTTCCACAAGCACGAAGCAGAAGGCCGGGGCTCCCCGTCTATACTGCCGGCCACTTCCAAGCGAGCGGCCCGTGAACGCTGAGGCTGGGCTGGGCGGGGCGCCCGGCAATTTGATTTTCACTTCAGGGAAAGGTGCTTCCGAAGTGGATCCATCTTCCGGCCACATTCAGAAAACGAGACATTTGCTCACGTCCTTATCAAGACTGGGGGGCCAGTCCCCACTGAGCTCTAAAAGGCATGCAAGCCCCTTATGGGGTGCGGTGTGGGCGCCACTCGCCATCAGAGGAAACGTGTGGAAGGACCTTTGAGAAATTTCTCCAGAGGTCTTGGAATTTGAAGGCTAGCAGAGGAGGCTGCAGTGTTTCAAATTAGCGTAATTGGGCCTGCCTCGGGCCAGAGCTGGCTGGCAAGCCCGGGGCCTCTGGGACAATGAGAACAGCACACACCAGGCACTTCCTTTGTTTTCAGGGCTGTCTCCAGAGCCCTCAGGCCGGAAAGGTGAGCCTCGGGAGACAGTAAGTCAAAGGCAAGAATGAAGGAAAAGAATGGGCAGCTGTCACTGTCCCCAAGCGAGACAGAACAAAGCTGCCATCGCTTTAAAAGCCACACGTCTACTTGGCCTGTTATGGGGGGGGGGGGGGGGCTCTGACAAATATTTACAAGCTGCGCATTACATTATGCCACGCTTTTACAGCAATAAATCCTTTAGAAGGAAACTGCAGGAAGCCACCTCCAACATTCCATCAACCTCAGGAGTAGGGAAAGAACGCGCCTTTTTAAACAAAACATCTCTGATCCCTGGTTACCCCAACTGAACGAAACACCTGTCAGCTTAGGCAGCGCTCCCTCCTCCACCGAGCAGGGACCAGCAGCTCAACACACGCACCCCTGAAAACATTTGAAAGGCCTGAGAGACATTCTCCTTCTAGGAAGCAGGCTTTGGGCAACTGGGAGCTGACCGAGTCATGATAATCTTGCAGACCTGCCCGCCAAGGCGCCTGCCTCAGGGCCTTTGCACATGCCCTGCCCGGAGCTCCTCCCAGGTTATCTTCTCTGCATCTTTATTCAAAAGTCACTGGCTCTCAAATGACCACCCTCAGTCCCTGAACTCCTGGGCGGCCCTGACCTGGGTCAGGGTGCTGCTGGCTTGGACGGGGGCAGTGCAAGGAACTCCCTGCAAAGGAACCGTAAATCAAGAATCTGAAGGCAGTGAGGAAGCCAACTGTGTGCCCATGGGGAGGGGGGGCGGGGGGTGGGGTGCTGACAGCCCCAAGGTTGGACACCCGAATGCTGGACCCGGAGTGTTTCCTAAGTTTCTTTTTTTTTTTTTTAAAGATTTATTCACTTATTTATACATGCACTGGGTACAGTCAGAAGCATGGGAGGGTGGGAGAATTCACCAGAGCCAGAGCGGGGAGCAGAGCAGGCAGAAGGACCGAAGTACACTGCTGAGGGGAGCAGCGGGCGGCAGGAGAGGTCTGCGCGCCATGTGGGACCCTCCTCTGGTGGCCGGGGAGCAGCCGGGGATCAAACCTGCCCTGCAGAGGCTGTGGGCAGCTTCGCAGCCCAGCGCTCAACCACTGCGCCGCCAGGGGAGGCCCGTGTTTCCTAAGTTTCTACCTGCTGACCAGCTACTCCAGCTGGCCTCTGAGGCTTCAGCTCCCACACTGCCCCCTCGCCATGCCACATTACGACCCACCACACACCACCTGCCTGACTAGACAGTCCTCGCACCACCGCCTCCAAAATCTCCTTCCTCAGCTAACAGGACTGTCCCGGGCCTCTCCATCTAAGTCACTGGCTCCGCCTCTCTCAGATGCCGCCTCACGACTGCCCCTGGCTGGTCTCTGCTGTCCCAGCACCGGGCAGCGCTACCCTGAGGTTCCTCCATCCCGGACCGAAAGGTTAAGACTCGAAAGCAGGGAAGGTCGGCTCATCTCCAAGTCTCCACAGTACCTACCCAGTGCCCTGCACACAGTAGGACCACGATCAGCACGTATACAGGGACTGACTACTCCCCTCTGGCCTGAGGACTTTGCAACACTTGGTGCTTTCTCAGGTTTTCCGGAAGGTGGACTGTTTGGACTACAGCATCCAGAAGCCACAGGGCTCCCGCCTGCCCTCCCAAAGCCCAGGGTCAGGAGAAAAAGAAAAAGTGGGGGCTGGGGGGGTTGTTTTACATATTGTGGGCCATGTGCCACCTCTCCATCATGATTTGGTGGGGAGCAGAGAGAAGAAAACTAAAAGCAAAAAAAAAGGGGGGGGCTGGGGAGCATGGGCTGGCGGGGCACAAGGACATACAAAGCCTGGCAGGCGGGTTTCCTGAGCGGGGCGCGCAGAGCGGTGGCGGCCGACCCGGGCCAGGGCAGCCTGGGGTCTCAGGCGCCCACCCCGGAGCAGGGGCTGTGTTCATCCCTTCCTACATGGAGGAAACCGAGGCAGAGAGCCAGGAGGAGGCTGGCGGTGCCCTCCCCAACCCGAGTGCACCCTGCTGTATGCTAAAAGAGCACATCTCAGAAGTCGCCCCAAAACTCTGGGAGTCCCCTGGGAGTGGCTTCTGTCCTTCTCCCATGACACATTTGCAGCTGCTTGGAAACTTTTATTTTTGACCCCAAAGGAAGTGCAATAAAGCGGAATCCAGCGGAGCCTGGGGCGGGCGCTGGGGGGCCCGACCCTGCTCCTCCAGATTGGGGGGCTCCTTCAAAGGCCCCCCAGGTTTCCTGCTTCAGGAAGCAGAGGTCTGACATAAACAGCTGTAGGAGCAGCATCCTCGCAAAGTGAAAGTAGAGCCGGCCCGGCCCTCCCCGAGGCCCCTCCCCGCGGCTGCAGGAGAGGGGTGCCTCCCAGGGGGATCCATGCCGGCCCCCCACCCCTTACCAACCGCACAGACCCCCCCCCCGCCCGGAGCCGGGTCGGGTGAAAGGCGTAAGTGTGGGCGCAGCAGACGACACCGGGCGCGAAGCCCAGCCCAGCCCACCGCGGGGACAGTCCACTCCCCCGACAGCAGCGGCGGCCCCGGCACAGCGGCCCCGGGCCCCAGTCCACGCGCGTGGGCAGCGCCAGGCCGCAGGGGTCGTGCTCGCGCGTCCTCTCTCCAGCCAACTTTTTCCTCCGTCGCCCCGGCTGCGGCCCTCGGGCGCCCCCAGGCCAGACCCGGCGGCGGGTCGGTGCCGAGTCGGGACCCGCGGGCCGGCGGGCAGAGCGCGCGCGGCGGGGGTCCAGCCCGAGGGCGCGCGGGGGCGCGCGGGCGCGGGGTCAGTAGGGAAAGGGCAGGCGGGGGGCGTCCCCGGGAGCAGGCGCGGGGGCGGGCACCGGGCCGGAGGGAGAGTCTCCAAACCGGGTCCCGGCGCGGCCCGGGGGAGCCCAGCGGCCGGGGGGCGGCCGCGGAGACGGGGTGCCAGCGGCGTCTCCCGCGCGCGGGGACCCCGGCGGGGCAGGCGTGCCCGCAACCCCACCCAGCCCGGGGGGACCGGCCACGTTGGGGCCCCGCGCGCCGCGCCCCGAGAGCGCGAAAAAGGCGCGCGCGGCGGCGCCCAGGTCCCCGCGGAGACCGGCTGGGGCCGCACGCGGGGCGGGGGCGCCGGGGCGCTTACCCGGCCGTTGCGGTCGGTCTCCCGCACCTCCTCGGCGCGCGGGCCCCGCCGCACCAGCGTCCGCAGCAGCCCCACGTCGTTGGCGCTGGCGGCGCGCAGCAGGGTCGCCGCCTCCGGGGCGCCCTCCGGGGCGCTCTCCACGCTCGCCGCGCCGCGCGCCTCGCCTCCGGGCGGGTAGAAGGAGTCGTCCGAGGCGACGCTCGGGGTGTCGGGCAGGCGCGAGAAGTCCTCGTACTCCTCGTCGTCCTCGGGGTCCTCCCGGGCCTGCGCGTCCCGGGGCGGGGATGGCGGCCGCGGGGACACGCAGCGCGCCCCGCCGCCCTCCGGCCCGGGCCCGGCCAGCAGCACCATGCCGGCGGCCGGGGCGCGGGCCGGGGGCCGGGGCTCGAGCCGGGGGAGCGCGCCGCGGGGCGCGCGCGGGGGTCACCGCCCCGAGCGCCCGGCGGCCCCGGGAGAGCCGAGCTCCGCGCGCTCAGCCCGGCGGAAGCCAGCGCCGGCGGCGGCGGGAGAAAAGCCCCGCGGGGGTGGGAGGGGCCGGGGGCTTTCCCGGGCGGCGGGGGGCGGCCGCGCGGGGGGAGGCGCGCGCCCCAAGGCCCCGCCCGCGCGGGCTCCGGCCGGAGTGGGGCGCCTCGCGGGGCGCCCGGCCGCTTCGCCCGGCAGCGGAGAGAGACGCGCGCGGGAACCAGATGCAAGAACTCGAGAAGCCGCTCGCCCCGCCCCGCGCGCCGCGTCCCCGGGGAGGAGGGAGGAGGTGGGGCGCCCGGGGGTGGGGCGCCCGGGGTGGGGGTGCTCCCGCCGCGGAAACACGCGAACCCGCGGGGGCCACCGCCTGCCGGGGCGGCGGGCGAAGGAGGCGCCGAACCCACGCTTTCCCCTCCCCGGGAGCCCGGGCCCCTCGCCAGCTCCACCCCGGGCTTTGGGGCCGGGCCTCCGGGGCGCACGGGGCTCGGAGGGGACCCGCCCCGGAGGGCGCGCGGGGAGGGGTGTCCCGCGGCTCGGAGCGCGCGCTCGGGGGCCACGGGGAGCCGCGAGCCGGCAAGACGCCCCACACCGCCCGGGGCGCACAGAGCCGGGCCCGCGGGGACCCGCTACGAAGCCCCCCTGGCGCGGCATCGGGGCGCCCGGGAGGAGCCTTGGGTCCGGAGAGGTGGCCCCGGCGCGAGGGAGCGGCGAGGGGTTCTCGCCTCCCCGGCCCCGGCCCGAGTCGGGGCCTCCGTCCGCGAGGTGGCACAGCCCTGCGGGCCCCGGCCGCGCGCGACCTCTCCCGGCCCGGGCGGGCGTCTCCGCGGGGAGCCCCGACGGCCAGGGGCGGGAGCCAGCGCCACTCACGGCGGGGCAGGCGCGTGGAGGCGCGCCCAGCGCCGGGATGGGGGTACTGCAGCTGGGGCGCGGGGCCGCGTTTACAAAACTTTTGAAGTTGGAGAGCCCAGCGTCGCCTCCACGCGCGCCCCTGCGCGCACCACCGGCGCAGCCCGCCCCGCGCCCCGCGCCCCCTCGGGGACCCGCGCAGTCCTGGGGGCCAGGGAGCCCCGCTGCGCGCCGCCAGCTGCTTTTCTTGGGTAAAATTCCGCAAGTGAGTGAAGCCACCCGGCGACCGACTCTCTCTCCGACTCTCTGACTTGGCACCATCACCTCAGAGCCACCTGTTTCCCCCCAAGGGCGCTGCTGCTTCGCCTGCAGCAGCTGAATGTGCGCCCCCGGCTCGGACGCGCGTGGAGCAGGCCGGGCCCGCCCGGGGCTGTGGGTCGCACGCCCGGGACGCGGGGCGCGGGCGTCTTGGGGACCCGTGTTGCGCACTCCCGGGTCAACGCCGGCGGGGCAATGGCAGAGGTCTCCGTTTTCATTTTTTTGCGACGTCTCCATCCCGTTTTCCACAGCCGCTGCCCAGTGAACCTCCCGCGGGCGCTCGCGGGCGTCGCTTACTCCCAGGCCGCTCAGCGCAGGCTGCTCCCACCGGGGTGAGGCGCGGGCTCCTTGTGGTTTCCATCTGCGTCTCTGTTGCAGCTTTAACTCCCACATGGGGGTCGAGGGAGGGGGCGCGATGTGGAATCAGAGGACCCCCCACCCCCTCACTGTCCCTGTGCCACCTTTGGTTCCATTTGTGACCCGGGCCTCCAGGTGCCAGCCCGCGGTGACCGAAGGCCAACCCAAAGGGAACAAAACTGGGTGGACGCAGCCCCTGGGGACAGGCTGGGGGACCCTGGGCCCTCGAGGGCAGTCTCAGGAGCACAGTGGGGACATAGGCTAAGTGCCCTGGGCAGGCGCGGAGGCCAGCGAGGTGCCCTGAGCCCCACTAGTGCCCAGCCAGAGCCTGGCGCCCTGACCCCGGGGAGGGTGACGAGAGGCGATGCTTGCGAGGCCTGTCTTTGCCTGAGTTAGCAGTGACCTTGAGCCACTCACTTCTTTGTGTACTTGGGGCTTTCTGGAGCCAAAAATAACCCAAATCATGCTTTGCTTTTACCTTTTTGTTGGGGCATCAGCCATATTTACATAAATTCCCACTGGGATTTCCCCTTTCAAGTTTCCTGAGTCCAGCTAAATGAAACAGGGGATTTACAAGCCGGGTCTGCTGGCCCTCCCCTGGCTCCCCAGGCTGGACGGCAGTCTGTGCACAAGCAGCGTGGACCCCCGCTTCCTCCTCCCCGACCCTGTGGGAGTCTGTCCAGCAGGTGCAGCCTCGTGTCCTTCTCTAGAGTCCCCGGGTCCTCGTCACTCGCCCCCGACACCAGGGAATTCAGACTCTATCTTCAGAGCCCACCACTTCCTCCTTTCCTTCCTTAGAAATGTGGCTTCAAATAGCCCTGGAATGGCTTTTCCCTTTACAGAGAAACTTCTGGAACAGTCTGCTCCAAATAAGAACAAATGTGGGCCTCCCCGGTGGCGCAGCGGTTGAGTGCTGGGTTGCGAAGCTGCCCGCAGCCTCGGTAGCGCTGGTTCGATCCCCGGCTGCTCCCCGGCCACCAGAGGAGGGTTCCACATGGCGCGCAGACCTCTCCTGCCGCCCGCTGCTCCCCTCAGCAGTGTCCTTCGGTCCTTCTGCCTGCTCTGCTCCCCGCTCTGGCTCTGGTGAATCCTTTCACCCTCCCGCGCTTCTGACTATACCCAGAGCTTGTATAAATCAATCAATCAATCACTCAATCTTGTATAAATAAATAAATGAATAAATAATCTTTAAAAAAAAAAGAAGAACCAATGTTTTGTGACCCGAGCTGATCATTCCCGGCTTTTAGAAATGAATCCCTTTCCCCGGGGCAGATTCCCAGCATTTCTGAAGGACGGGCTTTTACACATCACAAACGCAGGCATCTCTATTTCAGAAACGTCAGCACGTGTCTGTGCAGAAGCCTCCCTCAGAAGGCGAGAGCTGCCTATCGCATGACCCCACCCTCAGGGCAGCTCTTAAATCGACATTTGCAGAAGTGGTGTGTTTTTCTAAGAATATTTGGTTTCCGTCAAGTCCTTTAAATTATTGTTTTTGAAAGTTTTTATCGCTACAGAATGGCACGGTTTGTTGGTTTTGTTGAATGATTTGGTCCACCCTTTAAAAGTGCCCCGACCCTAGCTCAGCTACAGTCCTGGGACAGGCCGCCCACCTCTAACGCCTGCAATAGGATCCTTTCGAAATTACTAGCAGCCAATGGAAAGACTGAAAACATATTTATTTTTAAAGATAGCAAATGCAGAATACAGCTAGAGGGGTTCCTCCCTCTCCCTCCCCCGCCCCAAAATTGGAAAGAAAAAAGTGGTGGCGCAAACCCCCTGTATAGAGTGACCAGGGCCTCCCAGCCAGGAGCAGGATGGGTCCCCGCGGCGCATGCCTGGAGCCCAGCACACTGAGGTCAACTTTCGCTATTACTAAAGCTGAAGAACTGTTCCGTGGGGGAGGCGCAGGTTGTGAGATCAGAGTTGGGCTTCCCCGCTGTTGGGGTGGAGCCAGAGTTCTAGATGTTGAACATCTATTCCTTGGGTAGAGTGTGTTTACCGACTCATCTACTCTTGACCCATTTCCAGCATTTTCCGACTATGCTCAGATGCACTCTGGCCCAGGTGTCTTATGGGAAGCCCCCACCTCCTGCCAGGTGGCTTCACTTTCTTAAACACCAATATTTTCTTCATCGCTGTGTTCCAAACGGTAACCCCAAGTCTGGAACAGTGGGAGAGAGACTCAAGAAATCTAGAGGCATGGATCTCAGGGCACACGATAGAGCCTGTGGAAGGCCGGGCAGGCATCTCAGGGGAGACAGGGCTGTAGGTTCTGTTCGTCTCCTGCTGTTCTAGAAATGGCAGGACCAAGCGCCAGTGGGTGTAGGAGGAGGGAGGTGATGGCAAAGTCAATCTTGGGCACATTTTGTGAGATAATGCACACCCAACCTGCACGCTGGCTGCTGCTGTCCTTTTTTTTTTTTTTAAGATTTATTTATTTATGCATACAAGAGCTGGGGTGTAGGCCAAAGATGTGGGGGGATGAGAGGATTCACCAGAGGCAGAGTGAGGAGCAGAACAGGAGGATCCACTGAAATCCACTGCTGAGGGGAGCAGCGGGTGAGTCAGGAGAGGTCTGCCATGCCAGGTGGGTAGCTCCCTGGCCGGGGATGGAACTCGTGCTGTGCTCCCAGACCTGTAGCCTGCAGAGGCTACAGACAGCTTCATAGTTTGTGTCTTAACCCCTGTGCCACCAGGGAGGCCCTGCTGCTGCTGTTCTTGAACCTCCCAGAGTCGGTTTCCATTCTAGCAACTAAAAGACCTTCATTCGACAAAAAACCACATTTAAACAAAAAAAAACAAGATGGTCAAAAAACATTAATTATAGGAGAAATATTTACTGTGCCTGCCTGTGACAAGCGGCTCCTAGAATATACAGGCTTGTTTGCAGGTCAAGAGGAAACACTGGGCGTGTTTATTATGCATTTTGTTAACTGTGTTGTCACCTGTGAGTGGCAGGAAGCTGTCTGCCGGCTGGGGTGGGGGGAGCCCCCAGCTGAGCCTGAGCCCCTCCCTCCTGGGGTCTAGACGGAGTGACGCCCGCAGAGGAAAGGCAGGAAATCAGCCTTTCTCTGGGGTAGTGTCCGAGAAGGGAATGGAGGCCTGAGGTGACCGGGGAATCCATGTCTCACTCCCCTCCCCGAATCCATCTTCAGGGTGGAGGATGGAGAGGCGCCTCAGCTCCTGGGCCGGAGCACCCGGCCTGCATGAGAAGGGACTGCTTTTCACTTGTTGTTTAAGAAAAAAAATGTTTAAATAAATGTGGGTTGGAGTTTCTCCGAGGTCCCCGGCTTACTGCAGTCAGGAGGGACGCGGCTAATCCCGAGGTCTGTCTCCAGCTGGGCCAGGGCCCCTCTCGTCTGCTTAGC